TTATTCAATTTATATGCTGCCCATCTCCCCCAGAAGGTGACTCTGGGCGGCTCACAATTAATTTTTTATGGAAATCTATGTGCTTTACTGTCATCCTGTTTGCGACTGTATTTCCTCTTTTTGAGTGATGCATAAAAGACTGGCTTCTTTGTCACCTATGGGGAAACAGATGGCAGGAGGGGGTTGATTTTTTTTTTTTTTTTAAGAAATGGACGATGGGATAACAACATAATTTGCCTGGTCCCACATCCGCCTTCTCCAGGGACAGCTCCAATCCAATTAAAGGGAAATCACAGGACATGTTTCCAAAGGCTCCAGCATCACATGCAGTGTGGCTTTGGGATTGTAAGGCATGGCACAGTGTGGTAGAATTCATCCTTGCCCCCTTCCTCTTCCCTTACCTTCGCTGGCTTGGGTTCTGGCAGGGGCAGCAGGGCAACAGCCTCCCCCAGCATGGCAAGTTTCCTGTAGGACCCGCACTTCATTCTCAAGGGCCTGCAGCCTTCTCCAGAGCTCCTGGGTATCTTCAGTGCCAGGTGGACACCCACAGGACTGTGGTGGGAGGTTGATGCGATGGGTGAAAACCATGTGCTCTTGATCGGATCCTTCCAGGGTGTGCTCGTACAGGCCCCCTCCCTGAGAAGATCCAGGAGGGCCTAAGGCCTCTTGGGGAGGTGGGGAGGCACCCTTGTTTTCTGGATCTTCTCCTGCCACCTTAATGGTGTAGACATGGGAGAAGATGGTTGCGTTGGACGGGATGAGAGGATGGGGAAGACGTGCCTCCCATGAAGCCCCCAGCCAGCAGAGGAGCAGAAGGAAAGACACTGCCTTTGAGGGCCTCCCCATGATCCAGATCTGTAAGGAAGGGGACAAAAAGGAAGAGAATCAGTGCTGAACAAGGCAATAAAAGAGGACAGAACTGAAGTTGCTGAAGAGAATAATCAGCATGGTCAAGGAGCCAAGAACTGTTCTTAGCAGGGAAGCCAAATTGGTTCAGTGTTTTTCAAACTTGGCAACCTTAAGATGCTGGCTGGGGAGTTCTGGGAGTTGAACTCCACACAAATTAAAGTTGCCAAATTTGAAAAACACTAGTTTAGATGGATGGTTGATGGAAGCAACTCAGGTGATGGGGCCTGATTTCAAGTTTAGAAGAATGGATGAATTGGAGGTAGAAGGAACCCAAAGTGCCAGTTATTATTCTTCAGGAGATCCATACAGTTGACCAACAGAGGCATTTATTTTATGCACAATTAGCCCAGTTTGGAAATATGAAGGAACAGGCAGAACTTCTGTCTCTACCTTTGTGAGCTCTCCAATAAGAAGAAAAGTAAGCTAATTTTTTTTTAAAAGTCTGAAGTTAGAAGTACATTAGTTCACATAGCTTCAATGCTGGAGGTTCAAGAGAAAACAAAACCCAAAGTAGTAGTAGTAGTAGTAGTAGCAGCAGCAGCAGCAGCAGTAGCAGCAGCAGCGGTAATAATAGTAACAACAGTTACAGGCGCCTTAGGTGCAATCCCAAAACATCTGGAGCACCATTTGAAGACCATCGGCACTGACAAAATCACCCTCAGTCAATTGCAAAAGGCAGCTTTACTTGGGACAGCTTCCATCCTGCGACGATACCTTTTTAACAACCTCAGACAACCACATCTGCCTATCCCAGGGCCTTGGGAAGGACTGGATAGATGGACAAAAATGCCAAATCCAGTCCAAACATCTGGCTGACTGGACCAACCATAATAGGCAAATCAATTTACTGGGGACAAATACCAGAAGAGACCGTCCCTGTTAAATAAAGATAATTGGGATGCCTATAGTTTAGGCACAAATTCATGTCTGGTACTAGATGTAAAAATGTGTCTTGTCCATAAACCCTTACCCTTACCCTTTCACACATTCATAGATGCTGAAGAAACCCAACAAAAGAGCTTGGTGGCTTAGTTTTCAAGCCTGCTTTTGCAGTGCCTCACCACCAGCTACCAAGGGAATTAGGAAGAACGATGTGGATATCACCCGTAGCATTGATGTGGAGAGCAGGAATGCAAACAGATGCCTGACGCACATCCCACAGCCCTTTGCCAAAGCTGGAAGGTCAGGAAATAGTAAGAGCAGTGAAAATACACCCTGCAGGATGTTCTGAAATGCGGCTGGAGACCTGCCCTGAAAGAATCAGATCGGAAGTAGGAAGCTGGCAACAGAGAAGAAGAAACGGGATTAGAGTAGACAGAGTAGGAAGAAAGAGTGCAAACATATCTTTTGATGACAGGGGCTATAAGCGATGGATTGAATTGCCTCCTGAAGTTGTAGGACCTCATTCCTTACAGCCACCTTTTCCAGGAGTAAAATCCTCCATAACAGTAATTTATAAACCTGAGTTGGCACGAATCTCATTGTAGGACCAAGCCAAACCCAGCGAATCAGCTGAGCTAACTCCAAGTTTGAGGAGATCCTTAGAGTCACAGGGTTGGGAAGGGACTTCTAGCTTCTAATTCCACCTGTTCTGTGAGGCAGGAAATCCAGCCTTCCTGGGCAGCCCATCTAACTCTCAAATTGTTCTCGCAGTTAAGAAGCTCCTTTAGGGGTTTACCTGCTGTCCTGTGATTGACCTGCACTTTTCAGTTAACACCCAGAAGAGAGGCTGCATGTAATGGGCTGTGAGAAGAACCTTGAGGAACAAGAGGAAGAGCCACGGCCAAGGCAACGGTCAGATAAGAAGAATCTGAGTCCAAAGGAGGAATGGAATTTGAGAAAGCTAAGAAAACATCAGACTTGCCCTTCCTTAGTTCTCTTTAGGATAAAGGCAGGGATGGGTGAGGCGCATTTAGTATTCATGACTTTGGTGTTCAAGCCCGGTCTATCTCGAAGGGCTGATGCAAGCCAGCTCTTTCTATTTAACTCCTGCAAATGGTGAGATAACAAACTTTCTGCCCTATCCCCAATTAGATAATTATTTCCTTCTTTTGTCCTAGCCAGCGCCCAGTGCCTGCTAGACCCTTAACCTTCATTAATATGGAGCCTCCCCTTGCTGATGCCTAAACTGAGCAACTCCAAGGGTGGAGGGGGACAGAGAGATTTCAGGGCTATCAAAGCCATCCCGAATTCTGGAAACTGTAATAATTTAATGGGGACAATTTTAATAAACATGATTCAGTTTATGGCTGTCCCAGCACCTCCTTTAGTGTCCTCCTGCTTCGGTATCCGTCCTGCAAATGCTAAATTAGCCGGCAACTCAAGAATTTGAGAAAACACCTGCATTCTCCTAAACCTCTCAGATCTAATTTTGCTTTCTGGGGGAGCAAAGAACCAAGCTTTGGAACTGCACTGGCAACTAACTGCTAATGTTTAAGGCAGTGGTTCTTAAACTCTTTGACCCACTTATGTCTTTTCCCGGTCTTGAATAATGTCGTTGCCCCCACAAAAAATCCAGACTCTTGTTGTTTTATACAAGTGTCTCAGCAGCGGCAGTCCCAAACTGGATCCTCAACTCCCAAACCATCAGTTATAAATTGCTCCATCACCCCCAGGAATATGCCCAAATTACCCTCTTGGGAGTAATTACCTCCAGTTTAAAAGTCACTGGTTTAAGGAAATACAATTTGTTGAAGTTTGTAATTATTCTGAATTCTCCCCTGTGTGAATGAGCCTATGCAGTTTTTATTCAGAGGTGCGTTTTCCCTTGCCGGGGGAAGCCTCAGCTGGGAGGCTAACTCCAAAACCATACCCTCATTTCAAAGACTGCTTTGAAGACTCAGAGTAGAGAAGAATGAGATAGAATGAGATGTGTGGACCTCAACTCCTAGAATTCCCCAGCCAGCCATGCTGGCTGGGGAATTCTGGGAGTTGAAGTCCA